GGCATAAAATGGGTGTCCAAAAAATTATTATCTCGAGCTACTCCGTGCCTCGGAAAGCTCCGGCTGCTTTTGCAGTTGTTAATACCTTCCAATTCGCATTAGGTCAGCCTGGAGGCTCATGGCTCATTCTTCTTAACCATCCATAAGGAAGGCCTGTGCCTCTGTAGTGGGGAGGAAAAAGGCTGATGATGATGAAGAACTCTCAAAAGTTAGAATACTATTATTACTAGCTATAACAGTTCTTACTTCATTCAAATTCTTGTCTACTAATAAAAAAATTGCTTATTATGACATTTTCTCAAGTAATAACTTCTCTCGACTATAGATAGGAGTGTTGGACACCGTAAACCCTGATATTCAAATTAAATCTTGAAAATATTGTTACAAAACGGTTACTAGCAATCTATATTTATTTGCAGCAATAATATTTTGTTTTCCTATGTCCTGAAAGATTCAAAAACATGGGACATGGGAATCGATTTTATTGCTGAAGATATAAACAAACAACTATATTTGAAAAGAAATTTCGTAATGCGTTTGACTCATAGACTTTGCGGCTTAACAATGTAAAACTCACCTGAAGGCAGCAGTTTCAGTCCATACAGATTGACGGCATTCCAAGACAGAAGCCTAGGTAGGAACTCGTTGTATATTATATGCGTGAATTCTGCGGCGACGATTCGACGAGTGTGTTCGAATAACAGTTCAGCATCCCAATGGGGGTTTACTCCTCTAAGACCTTCCACTATTCTGTTATGTTCACGAACAAATATAGTGTGGATGGCAGTTAATCCAGGTTGTTCTGAAGCTCTGCCGTCACCTGGAATATTGAATTAACAATTGTTCATTATATTTTTATGTTATGCTTAAATCTTATGTTAATATATAAAAAAGAGTTACATGAATTTAGATTGTCTTAGAAATTTGAGTTTAATTTAATTTCTATAAAACCAGGTATCATTATTGCTCAAGTTGATAACGATATGGTTATATTTTATAGGGATATTATATCCTGTAAGCTTTAGCTATTGCTATGATTTGGATTTGGGAAAATATCATTATAGGGAAAGATATGAAATTTAAGTTTTTTTTGAGATTCAAAACTTTTTTTTCTATCAAGAATACTAAGTTCACCCGATCAAGACATTTTTTGAATATTATGGTCAATTTTAAAAATTCTACTACTGATCGACCGAAACTGGACTCTATATGGATTTTTCTCATATACTCATCAATCTAATTACAAACTCACCCGCAATGAAACAGTATCCGCTTGGTGCTTTACATTCTGGATGGCTGTCAGAGCGAGGCAGAAGATCTCTTCCACCCAGAGGATTAGTAGTGGTGTTAAGTCTGCCGTTGAAACCGCGTAATTTACGTACTATACAAGGGTTTTCTCCGTACACTACGGAGCCATCGATGAAAGCCGTATTTTGATTCACTTGTTCTCGAGGGCCTGAAAAATATCTTGTCATTAATTTTTCGTCCGTCTCTTATAGGCCCAAAAGCATTTGCTTGAGAACCAAGCTTGTAAACTCGCTACATATGCATCTTACTAAGTGAATCTTTGATATTTATTTATTTATTGAATAATACAAGCATGGTACAAACGGCGGACCTTATCTATATATTATTATCTAGCTAATTATTTGCTCAATATTCCTGGCTTACCGAGTTGCTGCTGTCCTGGTAAACTTCTCATGAATGGGAAGCACAGTCTTTCTCCGGACGTGACGTTGACCTCGGGATAGTAATGATCTCCTCTTGGCACCGGAAACGGGTTACATTCCGGGTGGACGGTACGAGGAGATTCGCAGGAGCGGCAGTCGGGAATAGATTCGTGAAAACCTGGAACATAGATGTCTCCTGTGATCTTATATTGGTCAAAGTAGTATATTCTAATTTCACCCAATTTTTAAACTAAGTAAAATTTTATAACATTAATAATAGATTAAAACATGATTTCTTTGACTTGCAATAGAATCTACAAAGAATATGCTTAATGATTTTCAGTTTTTACATTGGGTTTTTTTTTTTAGTAAAACATGTTATTTATGTACCTTTATGTATAGGCGTCATAGTGAGCTCATGGTCTACGAATTGTGCAAATTGCATCACCATCAATGTGTATCGAGTATGTAGGTTCGATATATCCGGATGTATAACAGTGGAGATGATACGTGGTGAAGGTAGAGGTGTTCCAGTCACTGAATTTATACGGGGACGACTTACACCTGGAAATAGATTAAGAAGAAATGAGGTGTATGAAATTTTTATGTTAATTGGAATATAACTAATAAACTAAAACTTAAAATATTCAATAATTTACTAAGATAGGCTAGAAATTCAAATTGACAAAAACTATAATACACCGTAACTTGAAGTGACAAAGACACAAAGCCATAATGTGCCAAGTCCATCAGTTAATTTTCAAAGCAATTATTATCTTTAAAAAAAAAACAAATATGCACTGTTATTTAGTTACTGAATTGGGCAGTTTTTTGTTCAAAAATGCAAATATTTTTACAAAATAAACATTCTCACCATCCTCATAAACCGGTGGCAACAATCTCGCGAAGGTAGTCAAACTCTTTCCCAAGTTGGGATTCCTCAAATTGTTACAGTATCCCGTGTAAGATCTGAAGGGATTATCTGGATCGCAGCTCCCAGAGTCGTCACATTGAGGTTCGATAGTGGGACCAAGATCTTGCCCTATAAAGCCGGTTACGTCCACAGATTGTAATGAATCTACGAAATCATTAGTTCCAAAGCCGAGGGAGTCATCGAACACTTGACGCTTTCGTCTATGCCTGGAATGGGAAATTAAGTGGCTTCTTAAAATTCGATTTTTAAGCTTTCCTCAAAAATTATAGGTCTCCAAATAATTTTAAGTGTCATTTCCTTTCTAAAATAGGACATTTACGAAATCAACATCATATATCTCTGAACAGATTTACATAAAGAAGACCATAGAAGGAGTAAAGTAAAGACACATAGTATCTACATGAATATGTAGTAATAGATAAGGGAGTGTTAGAATATTAGACAACATTAAATATATATGTTTCATTATAAAAGAGACATCTAATAAAGGATATAGGAGAATCATAGTACTATTTTAATGTCTCCTTATAGTCGAAATATTAATTATGATATTGTATTTAATTAATTTTGCATTCACAATGCTATATTGATTTCAAGTTAGGCATTTAGGAGTGGTGAAATTTTCAAGTAATTTTATGGAAAGTAACAATTGTAAAGTTTTTCTTTTGAAAGACGTTTTATGAATTAGAATTATATTAGATCGATTTATGAGAATTGTATATGTGTAAATTAAACTTACCCTCCGTGAATGGTGTTAAGTAGTTCATTAGTGGCAAATTCAAAGAAGAGGGAAGTGTTGGCTAGCTTCAAGGCGTATTTGTTTGCTTTCGAGAATGATGCCGCAGTTCCCACAGGAGATTTGGGATCAGCACCACCGCCTGGAATACACGATTAATTACTATAAATATTTCATTGGAATAGTTTTAATATATAACCAAAATCGTAATATTAATTTGTGTGTCGATATTTCCCTGGCGTATAGTTAAGTTAGAAATATTCTCCCTATTCGATTTTGTTCGATTCCATCCTCAGGGAAGACCTGAGTCCCAGCATTAGGGACACTAATTAGCTGGTGATGATATACATATTGTGATAATACTCACTGGACTCCCAAAGCATGTACTCCAGTCGTTTCCTCTCGGCCATTTCCTGCTTAGCCTTTTCTAACGCAGCTGCTAGCATATCCTGTGATAATCTTTCAGCAGCTTTAGCTCCACTCTCATCTCTCCATGCGGACAATTCTAGGCGACTATGTTGATTACAGTGTTGTGCCGCGTTTCTGGAATAAATAAAGATTATTTGTCAATTAATATCCCTTATTCTGGGACACAGATATTTGCCGTGTAAAATAGGCCTATATTTAACATGCGATTCAAATATAGATTGATAGGTTATGGGTTAAATGCTGCAGATGCAAACATGCCATCCAAAGTCAAAAAAACTAGAGATTAGAAGTTTTTGATAACAATCCCATCCTTTGTGAAAGTGGGAGTTAACTTCAACAATTGCATACCAAACGCGTCAATTACAAGCGCTTATTAGTAATAAGTAAGAAATTACATTAAAAGATTTAGTAAATACTTACAAGTACGGGTCTTCTTTGACAAAAGCTTTAGGTTGTATATTTGTTAACGAGTCATCAGCGGCGCATAACAATCCTGAGAGGGATACTTTTCTAATAGCCCCGAGTTGTTCAGGCAGAAACGATGACGGTGGGATATCGTTTTCATACCAAAATCTGTAAGAAAAATAAAGCGATGTAATTATTTTTCTTAAAGTGTTTCATAGAAATAGTTCCTAAGAAGTAACGAGTACAAGAAGTATATGCATGTATTCCATCCTAGTTACAACTTGTTAATATTATCTAAGTCTTAAAGATTCAAGGATAGGCATTGTCCAATTTTATTCTCAAGTAAAATTATTGGGTGATTTTAATATTCTCTTATTAGCTAGATGATGATGAGTGTTTAGAATTTGGGGATATTGATTTGGACATAATGACATGAGTTTAAGAGAAGGCTGATAAACTTCTTTCACTCATTCAGCTTGACGACCAATTTTGAATGAAGAATATCTTAATTTTACAACTATGATAGATTTGTCATATATACCTATCGCTTTTCTTCAAGTTAGCGAACTGTAGAGCTAGAACGCAAGCTATAGTTGGCCCGACCACGGCACCAGTCGCTGCCTTTTCCATAGCTCCTCCGATCATCAACTCTACATCTTCGGCGTTTCTGAAAAATTGAATTACTTTGTAAAGTTTGGTTCGGTCATAAAAGAAATAAACAGTGTATATACATATATAAAAGGAGATGTCCTGACATACTGACTGCCAAACAACACACACCCTGAACCGCTAGGAGTAGAGACTTGAAATTTGGAGGGTACAGTCGTCTTATTACATAAAGGTGTAAGAACGGATTTTCGGAAATTCCACCTCGAAGGTGATAAAAGGGTGATATCGTTGTATGAAACTTCTTTGTTTTTGTATTTACATCAATGAAAATTATGTTTGAGTAGTTTAAGAACCTAGGAAGGTAATAGGTTATATATTATCCCAAAAACTGTACTTGAGGTCATGTTTTACCTCCGCTTGTCTTTTATAAATGAATGGTGTTTAAATAAAAACTTATTCATGAACTCCCAACATTAACCGTAAATTAATGAGGTGTTAACTATTTTACTCATTCTACATAAATTTCTTTTTCCAGCTAGAGTAGTAACTTGAATCATAAATTAACAATAAAAATTAATTGAGGTACTGCAGTTCAATGAAGTGAATCAGCCTTAATTATTTATAGACTAAGAAAAAGGCCAATAAACCCTAATATATACTGTAACGAATTTAGAATGGTTACGGTTCTGGATGGATGTATGGAAAACTAATTAGAAGAACTAAAAGGACATTTTATAATAATATGAGTTTCAGATCAAATGATAGTTTTTTTCTGGGTTTTGATAATCTTTGTGAGCGTAAAAGGGGAATATCCCACCTATACATGTCAGCAATCATCTCCTGCTGTGTTCTATCGAAGCCCATCTTCTCGAAGTCCCCGAATGTATTGACAGAAGTGGTGGGTTCACACATCCTCACTGCCCTCAAGTATGATGCGACGCCATGATCTCTAGCGCGGTTCACATCCCACTCGACCGATGGTGGAAAATGGGATACGCGTTGAGCACTAGTACGGAACAAGTGTTCTAGAGAAACGGTCGAATTTATCTGAAAATTAGCATTGACGACATGTTACGGTTACGTTCTAAGTCTTGCATATCTAGTAATATACTAGACCCAAAAGACATAATAGTTAAAATCCAAGTCCAAGTGAGCTTTTAAACTGGTCAAATGTGGCATTTGCCTCAATTCGTGAACTAATTTGAAAAGATTTTTATGACTTGGTTCATAAAAAAATTAAACCAACCTCAAACGATTAAGAAAAATTTTATGATTCCAAATATGAATGTGTCTGTTTCTGTATTTCCAAAATTTTTCAATTTGAGTAAAAATCAATGGAACTAGTATCTTCCAAATATCATTTCGAGCAAGAAAAATAATCATGGCAAATTATTATAATGCGAAAAACAACTATGGCGAAGTATATTAGGAAAAAGACATGCTAAAAGAAGGGATCCTTTAACTCATACCAGTTTTTGGTTCATCATTGCTTTGAAGATAGGCGCTACAGCAACCAGCTCGGTATATGCGCCCGCGCGGTTAGCACTTGAGTATCCGCGCCAGAAACCGAGTGACTGTAACTTCAATTCTGCTTTCGCCATTCCCACCTGTAATTTAATTATTATATAAAGTATCAACAATATTAACAGCCATACGACGCTCATTGCGGAATATAACCACCCCATTGATATTCTGTCGACGATCAGTCCTGCAATGTCCGTGGTACGTGGTCGCCATTGCAGAACCTTTCTACCCCAACCAACCATGAATACCACGATGACCGAACAGCCATCGATTCTTCTAGTTATATGTCCCGTTCACTGCCACTTCAGCTGAGCAATGACAGTGACATTGGTTCTCCTACGGATTTCTTTATTCCTAATATGTTTGTTTGGCTCTTGCCTCTTGATATTAAAAATCAGACTATCCACCATCTGTCTCCACAGAATCGTAGAGTTATCGAAGAATCGCCCGAAAAGATGGTCACAACCTCGAACAACTCATAGTGACAGGCAAGTTTGACGGCAACCGATCAAGAGGCCGCAGCTCATTAAGATGGTTAGACCAAATACGGTTATCGTTGGATACCAGTCTCCACAAGACCCTCCACGAAGCAAAAGACCGAAGCAAGTGAAAGGATATAGTTAGAAAGAAAGTGATTCACCGCGGGAGTCACGACCCTCAGGAGTGAGGAGTACGACGCGAAGAGACAGGATACATTTATTTGTATCGAATAGGTTTCAAAACTACTGGAACTATAGAGACTTAAAGCAGCAACGACTGGACCGGTTTTAAAAATTCATTTACCTACGGGAGACTACGTCATACGCAGGTGACACTGGCTATAATTTGTGGGGGCAAAGTCGCGGGTAAGCAGCTAGTATAAAATATATCAATAGATAGCACTCCACTTTCATTGAAATTCGTTACAAGTAAGTAATTAAGTTAGACATATTATATCTATCTCTTACTGTTTATTTGATCGATAAACTTGCGTGGGCAGAACTTATCTCCGGCAATTTCAGCTACACGTTTTCCAGTACTTATGATTTCTATAGTATTATCATAATAATATATAGGTTATATATAGTATTCATGCTGTTTTCTTTTGCGTTCTTACCTCGCCTAGAAGAACTGGTAAAAATTCATTGTAAGTAATGTGTTGGACGATCGCAGCGATCGCTCGTCTGGCCTCTAAGAACAGTGTGGTGTCATCCCAGAATGGATTTAGGGCATACAGTTCACCAGCTATACGATTGTGTTCAGCCAATAAGGCCTTGTAAAGTGGGGCGGTGGGAGTTCCATCGTTGCATCTAAAACAAAAAAGTACACGATAATTAGTAATTAATTATATACATAAAGACTTTAATTCTAATATCACAACAAATAAAAAACTGCACAAAATGGTATATTTAATTACGTAACTTTATATCTTTATTTTTATTTTATATTTTGAGCAGTAGGTAATAATTATATTTTGTTGAAGCTTCTTACATTCTTATAGACAACACTAACTATTGTAGATTTAATTTATGTATATTATAATTTGATAGTAGATATTCATGTGACCCCTAGAGACATCAAATATCAGTTAAAGTGCTAAGGTTCTAAAGTGTTCTAGGAATCAAATTGACTGACTGTACAGAAGTCAAATTATCACTATTAGATAAAAAGATAGGAGATCAATCGTTCAGTGGTTAGTGCGTTTGGTTTGCGATGCGGAAGTAAAGCAAATTCACAAGGGCCAGCCAAAGGATGTGAGCCCACAACTTATTATCTCGTAAGCTACAGGTCCCTGTGCAGTCGTTATCACCTGCCAATCTGTAAACCGTATGTTATCGTCCATTCTCCCTATACGATTCCATTCATAGAGAAGGTCAGTCTCAGCAGTAACATTAATAACCTGATGATATTCAAACACAGCCTTCTTTTCAAACAGCCGTAAGTCCCTTTACTAAATCTATATGAGAGTTTTATTAAAATAGTACAAAGAATATAAATAAACAAATGAAATCAACAAATAAGTACCATGTGATAAATAGTACCTTGTACACAAATCGTCTCAAGGTTCATTCGGCAATTCCATTTGCATACAATCCATTTATGTGACGACACCAGGAGTACCAGCAATGTAAAATACTTTATACGGATGCCTCATTTGTTAGCTTAAAGATTAATCGGACTTTAATATCTGGGAAAACAATAGGAGAGTATAAACTGGCCACCATTTGTCATTGAGTTTCACGAAAACCCAAAGAGATACCAGAGACTAACTAGCTTGGCTTTACGAAACAATAAAGACGTGGGAAGTGATAAAAGTTGACTACTAACAATGAAATCTGTACGTTAATTTAATACCTATGTTTGTGGGCAAGAAAAATAATTTCTGGTATCTGTTGTCATCTGATAGATAGGACAGGTAACACTATTATCTACTTTAAGTCTAGGGTGTTTTAATACAAAGATTGGAATTCATGAATTCAAGTTTGAATTATCCTTAACTTCAACTGACGATAAAATCTAGTAATAAGTTTTGATCTGACGGTAAACTGTGTGTTTGGTGTAACGTTTGTGGAATCGAATAGTTCAACGATCGAACTAATGGGACAAAAAAATCACACTAGTCCGATGATCGAACTAGTGAGAACATAGCAGTACTTAGAGCATTAAAAACAAATAAAGTAGAGCCAAATAAAAGACTAAATTATAAAGGTTAAATAGTTGATCAAGAGTTATCATTGATGAAACATGTATTCTTATTATTATAATAGAACAATTTTGCATTTACATTGCTATAATGGTAAATATTTTTAATGCTTAAAAATTAACTGATCCCAGGTACGGGTACATTCATTAAATGTGAATTATGATCTTTACTTTCCGGTTATATTTACTTACTATAATTTTAAGATCACTAGTACCTGCAACGTGTAGGTATAAAGGTAAAAGAAATTTTAGTAAATTGGTGCATTTATTATATCGTCACTGTAGAAAATGTATTTCTGAAGTATAAAATATTAAGGAATGATACCTGAGTAAAACTAATTCTATTGAGTCCGTCAGTCAGAAATAAAAAAAAGATACGTATGTTTTCGCCTCATTTTTATAAGAAATAGCTTTAAAATCGAGGAATGGGGGTTCGTTGCGTCAAAACTATGTAGAAAATGTACAAAGGTGTGACGTAATGTAACATTTCGACTCAACTCATCACCGCAATTTATTGATTACGCAAAATAAAAAAATAAAAAAGGTATTTAATATTCTAATCTACCTGACGGATAGACAAAGAAAAATAAGTTTTCATCCCCTTTCTTATTATTTTGACTTTATGAGATATTATTACTTCTTACTTCTTCTTGTTATAGGCTTTATTATTGTCAATGTAAATGATCTACCTAAAAGTATCTTACTATCTCAATTAGAAAGCTAATGTGACGTAGTGTCAGTTGAGTAATTATTGTTTATTAATACTCACTTCCTGCATGAACCGGCGTCGAGTTTTCCGGCGTCATACAGTCGTAGGGACCTCAGTTCCTTCTCTGAGCTGCCGTAGAGAGCCGACCCGTCTAGAAATGCCGTTGCCAAATTCATCTGGTCACGGTACTCTGTAATATAAAAACTTTTTTAAACTAATGAAATGTATCTATACATTATTGGCCAGCCACATAACATGTTCGATAATTTTGGGAGGAGCGGGTTGACTATGTATTTGCTAAATGGGAGAGGAAGATATTTTGATAGTTTTTACGTAAGCTCTTATAAACCCGCAAAGTTATGATTTTATTGTACTGTAACGTCAGCTTTAGTTGCTCTAGATTATACTCTCTAATTTATGTCTATGACTTCTTGCTGGCCATTTCAAAGTAGTTTTTATTCTAATTTAAATAGCGAATCGTGTTCACGTTCGTTTTGAAAATATGATAGGCAAACCTTCTTTATGGTTGAGGCCGTCTTAGGAATAGCGTCTGTTTGTATTGGTGAAATAAAATTAGAGTTCAATAAAACTTGGATAGAGAAAAATGGCAAATCTTCGAAAAATGAAAAACTTTTTTATTTTTTTTTCCTGCTCATTGACAGTATGACACGTGTTCACCAACGAATGGAAATGTTAAGGTTTTGTGGAAATTGTCTTATCAATAACAATGATTGTTAAAACTCTCGAAATAAACGGTACTTGAAAATTTAAAATTTGCATTTGTGTTAAGACTGGCCGGCTAGTAATTACTAGATACTTTATAGAATATCTATGTTGGTATTGATTGATTTTTATTTATCTAACATCCTGATTTCTCAGTGGATGGATTTTGCCCTATCAACCTAATACAAAGCCCATATGTAGGTATGAATGCACAACGAACTCACAATAACCAGTCTAAAAAAACGTTTATCTTGAAGCCAGTTGCACAAACGTCCATTAAAATTATCATTAGTTTAAAGAGTCAGCACCCATATAAATTTGATATTAATTAGAGCTTAATTGCATCATTAAACCTTAATGGACGTTTGAGCAACTGAACTCAAGGCCATAATAATGTAGTCCTAAACCAGGTAAACACAATATGTGAATGGTAATCGGTGTTGAAATTTAGATACTAATAAAATTAAAACTGAAAATCGATCGGAGTAATTTGAAATATTTAAATACATCTAAATGTGTTTAAGTATTCGGACATCCTGACGTGTCGACTGTACATAATGGATTCTGTGATGTTTATTTTTGGGATACATTACGCATATAACAGATAAACACTGTATTTACTATCTCAATCATTTTAGAGTTTGCCCTAACTGAAAAAGAAGTGTTTACTATAAGTTATTTAGATAGATTACCAATAATTAATGTTTTTACGGCTCTTGTATGTTGTTCCGCCGCTAAGAAAGATAGGCTAAATATAAAAAAAAAATTTTTTAATTGCTTTATTTCTTAATTTTTTGACTAACAGTTAATACTATACTGTCTATTGTCAAGTGCGATTTTTTAAATCTTTCGAATTTAGTGTAAATATAGACACACAGTATTTCGTTCGTAAACAATCTTAAACTACTTCCTAATGGGTTTTAGTATAAATCACAAACAAATGATGTAGACTCATCAATATTTACAAATCATATATATTGGATAAATAACTATATCAAATAATCTAAAGTGAGATCAATGTGAGTACTTCCTACTTCTTATATACTTTATTTATGATACGTAGGTGAATATAGAAATTGAACTTTATACGTTTATTTATTATGTTCAATTTTAATATGCCTTCAGGCTGTCTTGTATCATTTAATTTGTAACCAGTCACCGGAAAATGAGTAGTTGCACGCGTTATTATTAATATTTTGGTTTGTAATATGAAGGCTGCATTTTATATTTTAAAATGTAATGTAGTTTCATTAAGATAAATGAACACGATTTATGTAATCAATTTTATGTCAATAAATATTATAAAGTGAAATAAATTTGACTAGGTAGTTTAATTTGGTTTGGTATTTGTAAATTGTGTCTTACCAATACGAGGGTCAAACTGAAAGTTCTTAGAAAATCAAAAACTGATTACATTAGCCAGTTATTAGTTTTATTATATCTTTTCAAAATATTGTCCATTCACGTCAATACACCGCTGCATGCGATGGAACCACTGGGAAAAGCACTTTGCCCACTCGTCCTTAGGGGTCCCTTCAATGGCATCGCGATACGCAGCCACCGCTTCTTCAGCATTCATAAACCGCTTTCCTTTAAGTTTTTCTTTAATTTTTGGAAATAAATAAAAATCACAAGGCGCGAGGTCGGGGCTATACGGCGGGTGACCCAGTAATTCAACGTTTGATGTCGCCAAATAGTCGATCCTTCGCTTGGCGGTGTGCGACGAGGCGTTGTCGTGGTGAAGGAGGATCCTACTGCGAGGTCGTTTCTCTCGAACTTTTTCCAAGACAAGTGGCAAACAATTGGTAGTGTACCATTCTGCAGAAACTGTTTTTTGATCCTCTAACACAATCGTTGCAAAATGACCTATCCTTCCAAAGAACGAGGCCACCATTTTTTTTCCCGCACTTCGATCTCTCTTCACTTTAGTTGGCAACTCCTCGAAAGGAAACACCCACTGAGCAGATTGTCTTTTGGTTTTAGGATCATAACAGTAAATCCAGCTTTCGTCATCTGTTAGTATGTCGAACACAGCATTTGAGTCACCTCCGTTAAATCTTTCAATCATTTTACGACACCAATCCACACGATGGAGTTTTTGAGCCTCAGTCAAATTATGAGGTATCCACCGGGCGCAAAGCTTCCTGACCGCTAAATGTTCGTGGAGGATTTTGTGCACTTGACTCATACCGATGCCTAAGCTTGTCCGAATCTGTTGATAGGTCACTCTTTTGTCAGTCTCTATCATACGCCGCACAACACAGATGTTATCTTCAGTCGTCGCCGTAGAAGGCCGTCCCTCACGTAAATCATCAGTGAGATTAGTGCGACCACGTTTAAACTCATTAAACCAGTTGTAAACAGTCGCACGAGATGGGGCTTCATCGTGAAAGGCCAATCGTAGTCTATCATAACTTTCTTGTTGACTTAAATGACATCGAAAGTCATAAAAAATCATTGCACGAAAATTTTCTCGTGTTAAATTCATGATGACGTGACACAGACAATTTTCAATTTGCCGCCAAATCGTAAAACAAATGACAAATGAATGAAATATATACTCAGTAATATTGGCAAAGAGTTATATTTTCAAATTTTAGAATTATTTTTTTATTATATTGTTTATAAGTGGCCAGTTCTAAGAACTTTCAGTTTGACCCTCGTACACTCGCGAGTCGGAAACTATGACATAACGACCGTTTTAAATAGGTATGTTTGATTTTTTAAATGGAAGAGTATACAATAAATATTATTAGCATTTTGGAAGCAGAATTAAACAAATAATTATATCTGTAATATACTGTTTCTACTAGTGATGAGAGTCCGAAAAGTAATTGATTAGTCACCCTTCAGGTTTTTACGTATTATACATAACCGCATGGGCGAAGCCGCCGGCGGAAAGCTAGTTCGGGATAAAAATAAAATATTATAACTTAATGTATGTGAACGACACACCTTCATGCAAACCGCGAAAACTAAGTATATTTTCAAACAGTCTGGGTGCATCCTGCTACGCAGAACAACGAGTTTTTCGATGGTGAACTTAGACAATCGACTAGTTTTTGGACTCTCATCATTAGTAGAAACAGTAATTACAAACATGTCTGATTACCAAATTCAAATTTCTCCCACCGACTTTTTGTCTTCAAGTTCCAATCAATTTGGAACATAGGAACTTTTAAGTTTCTAAGTTCTAAATTGATTGCTGAAAGGCCTTCTATTACTCGATGTGCTGCTGTTCATATTTATGTATTTAAAGCATGTACTTACCAAAACCGCACGAGTCGATGTTTCTAGCCGGCGCGGAACGGGTATACTCGCACGAGGGGCCTTGGCATTCCTGTCACAAGAATGGAATGACGTTGAAATGCTTGTATCGTCACAGAAATGCATTTAAAATAAATCGGTATAATTTAAATGATGGATTCGAAGGACAGACAAATCAACGAGTTAAAGGCGTACTTTATTATTATTATGTAGTAATTTGAGAGTTTCACATATACTTAGATAGGTAGATGCCATTTCTAAATAAATACAATAAGTACAATCATTGTGACATTTCCATGAGGTCATAAGAACCCGGCTACTATTTTAAATTCCAGAATTTTCGTAGGTATTATTTACAGATAATATTGAGAATTAGACTAGGGATTCTACGATAAGTAGGTAATAGAAATCAAGTACAATATATAGTTTAATACCATTAAACTATAATTTTGTTGCCAAAATAATATTTATAAAAATAAATCACAGCAAAACTATTTATTATAAGGTTCATAAATTTTGTGTAAATTGAGAACTTCCTTTTTCTTTAAATTGGTTTAAAAGTATGTAAAATCGATCTCTTCCAGAAGGAGGGATTTCGCCGTATTTTATTTATTACAAGTTAATAAAGCTAAAATGTTTATTCTTATTCACAACTAATATAATCTATAAAGAAATGCATCTATTTAATTCGCACATCATTTTTTGTCTTTAGCTACGACTCTTATTAATGAATATGTTTTCTCCCTTGTATATCATATAAATTAAAATATATATACTTATATTTTAATACCTCATATGGAAAGTTTCTATAATTGTTTTGTTTGTAGAATTAAATACAAACAAATAAAATCTAGATTTTTGCAACGATCTTTTGAAAACTCTATGCTTACAACTCTCCGGTTGACTGGTAGAGAATGCCTAATGGCATTAAGTCCACCCTTTTGTAAAAGAAAACATTATATTCGTTATTGAAACTGCCTCTGTTATTGCAGATGAAATTTAATTTGACATGTCACATTAGAAATTTATAATCCGGAATAAATAGAGCTTTTCGTCATACAAATTATCTTCATAACGCCATGAACAATGGATAAAATATGAACACTTTCACTAAGTTTATACACGAATGATGCTACGTAATTCGTACGACACTATTTTTAGAATAAACATTGTGTAATATATTCATAAGTATAGGCTTGACAATGTAAATATACATAGCTGAATGAATATGAATGCTTTCTTTTATATGCAATTACTTACTCTTTGGGTTATTACAATTAGAAAAAGGCAGAGATATTGAATCTACGAACACAGTCGTTATTTAAGCCAAATAATCAAGGAGTAATATTATATAGATGGGTTATACTAGCATAGTAGCAAAATAAAACTTACACTCACATGTAAAACGAGAACCACAAATAGCAATATAGAAATAGATAGCAATATCGAATGAATCTAAACCTAAATTAAAAGTAATTTTTCACTTTTCTTACTCATATCAAACTTCCTCATATCTAGGATATCAAAGGAGATAAATTAGGAGTACGGACTTAATACTCTTTACGAGATGGGAGGATAAAAAGTGTTTCTTGTTTTATTTCGTTACGATAATAGGTATGTATTATTTATGAGCATTGTAAAAGAAGCATTTCAGCGTTCTCTATTTGTGATTAAGATTATATCGTACAATTAGTATGGTGGTATTCAAATAACGTGTTATATAAAATAAATTTAAACAACATCATAAACCTTAAAAAAGCACCACGAATTGTCGTAAAATTAAACGTCTGTTGGATTAAAACGAGTAATTATTATTAGTAATGTCCTCCTTTCAACAATCCTGTTTTGTTTGTTACAAGTAAACACAAGGAACCGACAGATCATCTCTTACTTAATACTTACTTTCATGTGATGTAACCTTTCTCTAGTAGAACTCTCGAACTATCACGGCATCTTATATAACATGCTTTTTGAATATTTTATTATCCGTATATATAGATACTGAGATAACTTCATTACTTATTTTGTTGTAAACTTGACCTAAAATCGACTTCTAAATTTTCCTTTAACGTCTTGAACTTCAACCAAAATATGTTTGATTTCGTCGTCTTCATCGCCATCATTCATTCATTTCATTTTCATTTTATATGTAGAAATTAACTTATTCACTTGATATTGGCAGAATTGTGCGAAATGCGCAGATAAGCCATTAATAAATAAAAGAAGAAGATAAAGATTAAATTTTACGACGTCATGTCTACATTTCGTTCTGTCAATCTATGTCTTAATTTTTCATATACTTTATGGACAAAAATAATCTTGACCCTTATTTGCTATTATTTCACTTAGCCTTATGGCCTATAATTAGGCGAAAAAGCTGTCTTTCAATTAGTTTTGTACCAAAAAATATTGTCCAAATATGCTATAAGCAAAAATGAAAAAAAAAATATTTCATTTCACTTTAAGGCTTGTATCACAATCAAAAAGGTAAATCTATAATATCATTTATATAACAAAAAACAAAAAGTCACTCTTAACATTCACAATTTTTTCGATTTCTTCTCGTAATTATACTCTTTTAATGGGGAAAATAGATAAATAAGTTTGCGAGTAATTAATTAATGCTCTGTGGTCCGCTCCTATCTATTTGCCAACGGAATGAAATCTAGCTATCGGTTGAGAGAACCTCAGTTAGGTTTGGGTTAATTCACTAATCTGAATTTAACTTGAAAATGAAAATTCCGTGAAATTAATATAAAAATAGATAGATTGTTACGATTTAATTCCTTAGAAGGAAATCTTATAGAATCATTTCAATATCCGTTTGTGCTTATGTAATACTTATTAATTACCATAAAAATTTGACGTTAAGTAATTTAAAGTTATTAATTTTGTAATTTACTTAAACAGCGTCGGCTTTACAAAAATAAATTATGTTCGGTCAAGTTCAATGAGATAAATCTATTGAAAAAAGCATGGCTTATAATTAAGGATGTCAGAAGATAAGTTTTATTTTGGTTTTAGTATGATATATTTTATAATAATTCTTTATAATTATTGTAGATTTATATCAAGAAGAGCAAGTCAGACAGAAATTTAGTTTAAGACTGTTAACGTTACTGTATGATATAGGTACCTATGCAATGCAATGCAATTAAAAATTTCACAGATATAAACAGAAAGTGGGCACACTTAGTCCCCTGTGTCTCTAATAATAACTAATTAACGGATTTAAATTTAGATCCTAGGTTAGGTTAATTAATGTATCGAGTCGTTTTTATAAATAAAACTAGGGCTTTACATTCTTACTTTGAGATTGAAAGAATATGTAAAATGGAAAGATTTTATTTTGATTGTTTGTTTGCTTTAAAACATAACATAACTACTGGATCGATTTTTTAAATTCTTTCACTTACGGGAAGCTATGTATATCATACGCAAGTGACTATATTTTGGCGAAGTCGCTGGAAAACAGCTAGTATATTTATCTGATAAGATTGTTGTTATATACCGTCAACCCTATTAATAATGTTGGATGATTGCGCTTGCAACATCATCCGTCCATCTTAACAAAAAGCTTGCGTCCGGCGGCCTTCAGAGTACGGTAATATATTTACGTTTGATTACAGATGATGCGCCGGTCATATAACCTAACTAGCTTTCCGCCTCCGGTTTCTCCCGCGTTGTTTTCCCGTTATTCCAACATTTTTCATTGCTTTTCCTTTCTATTAGTCAAAGCGTGATGTTATGTAGCCTCTTACTAAATATATATAGAGTCAATAATTGAAATAATTTTTCAATTCGAACCAATAAATCCAAATATTAGCGTGTTCAACATAACAAACAAACATACTTCCTATTCAGCTTTGTTGTATGTAACTTAAACAATTTACGAACTCTTCGGAACGCTATGGTTAACAACCTGCGCGACTCATTAATTGATTTTTTAGACTGCACATTGTTTTTCTGTCGGTATGTTTCTTAATTGATATTGTATTAGTCTCGCTGAAAATCAGCTTTGTTGTTCAATCGAAGAAGCAGAAATGGTTAGCTTTGTTTCTTGGTGATGATAAAAATAACGGTATTCTTCCATTCACGTCGATTTTCGCTCACATGTGAAAAATCTTTGTCACTCGTATAAAATATGTGAAGTACGTTTGATAGTAAAAGCAAGTATGATATGAAAGGATATGGTTACAGAAACCTGCCAGTTCAGAGAATTACAAATTTATAAACTTTTTGGTTCAGATTGACGTCAAGATCCAAAGAGTATAATTACAAAAAGCTATTGTCTAAAAATTATGAAAACTTTTTTATTTTATTTAAAACTGCCTATCTTAAATATAAAAGAATTGGAGATATACTGAAAACCGAGTTCTTGAGGCAATTAATGAAATGATGGTCGGGGAACAATTTTGCTATATGTACCCTTCCGAAGGTGGTGATGAAACGCAATTAGGTCCTGTGATTAGTTTTTAAGCTCGTCTTCCCATCTTTTACCTAGTCTATACTTCTTTTACCGTCTCTAGGATACCACTCAGTTACAATCCTACTGGGTACTTCTGAATATATGGCCAGTCCACCTCCACTTTAATTGGTAAATTTTTGTCAGAATGTCGTTCTGACAAAAATTTACCAATCGTTCGTTCTTATAACGGAGTTTCTTATGTTATCTTGTTTCTTGATGCCTATACTTCTTACCATAGTCCTTTGACAGTGTATTAGCATTTCTCTGTGATTTTTTGTGGGTGACCAGGATTCGCATCCATATGTGAGACAAGGGAGTATGCATGTGTTGAAAACTTTTCGTTTAATACCTAGCTGAGTTCGTTGGATTTCATAATCTCTTTGATATAAGATGTAATTAAAAATAATACAGTACATGTTTTACCTTGTTCCCGTTGACAGTTGAGATGAGATCGTTCATGAGCAGTTGCCCCCAAGCTGCCAGCATGCTTGTCACATAGTCATGGTCCGCAGGTCGCGTCAATTGTGCCGCTGCCATAACCGTCAGCATCGGCGACGGATATTGTGGAGCTGAATGAGGCAGCGACACTTCTGCGAGGGAAAACTAATATTTATTGTATGCTATAAAATATGAACGCAGAAGGCGCTGTTTTAAAATTTTCGCAGACACTATTTGAATTTTGAACTTCCCTTTCTGTCAGAACCTTTCTTAAATTAAATAACGAGCTAAAGATCCGGGTCATTTAGATTAATTCAAATTCAATATTATTTATCCAGTCAAGCCTGGTACAAGGACTTGTGAAAGTCGAAAGCAATGCTATATTTCTACGGCAAGAGACCCTGTACGGAGAAGAATCGGCAAAGAACTCAGCAAGGGCTGTATTTTTCTCCAAGTTTTATTTAATAGTTTTGTTTAATTCGATAGTGACTTTATTATACTATGACTATGAAGTCACTTTTCAAACAATTTTAGAAATAATAAAATAGATTCATAGCTTGATATATTGTTTTAGGAATAGACAAAAGTAAAAATCAATTAAAATGAATTCAGTTTACTATAAAAGATTAAAACATATTTGAATGGGAGAATATTTTAAAAGATTTCGAAAGCGCATACACAAATACAAAAAAATATGCCAGATCGGTGAATAGATTATATATAGGTACACCTTACGCTTATATATACACCTTATTTTTGTCTTTACATTCTAACAAAAAAAGAACGCATAGCATATTATTTATTTGCGACTATATTATTATGAGATTTTATAACTATTACATAAGTAGTTATATTATAGTCCGTATAAGTGTAATAATAAAGTTGTAAATCAACATGTTATTTAGACTGCTCTGTTAATATGAATTCTATTTTGATCAAGTAACTCGATGTTGCGAAATAACTGCATCACTAACCTCAACTCGGTGCTATTAATCGATGCCATTCGAATAATTTTGTCCATGTTTATGTCTGCATGCTAAATCGAAACATTATTAAAATCGTTATATATAAAATGAAATGAAATGTTGTAACGAATAGATTAAGATTATGCAGTGATGCGTTATGCATTTGATCATGACACAGTAAGATTACATAGTTTGACAATTATATAAAATATTTACTGGTGTAATGGGAATGTTTACACGATTAGTAATTTCGATAAAGACAAATGGCCGTGTGGGATATACAGTCTTGTTTTTTGTCCTATATATACTAATATAATAAAGAGATACATTTGATATTATATTTTATTTGTTGATTGCATTAAATAGGTTTTTAAACTATGCACGCAGGTTAGGTTATTAGTTCAAAGGCTCATCGGTAGAGCATGCTATTAGCATTTAGTCCGCTTTTTGTTCTATAACTTGGACTGCTGGACGATAAAGTTTAATTAATTTCTTGACAAATAGGTCAGCATTTGCGTGTTCGCGCTGAATTCACGGAACACTTTTCTTGTTTATAAATCATGTATCTTATAATTATTTTCTATTGAATAATATACTGATCATGACATTTTGTCGGGCAAAATATCACCACTGTTAAAAACCAATTATAAACAAAAAAAGCACATAAATAAAACGACACATTTTTATGATAATGGTAGTAGAGATTGTTTCGTTTGTGGCGAAGGAACTAAGCGATACTGCCAAATATATTACTGGTTCGCGCCAAAGTATAGCGGTACTTTTTTGTTTTATCTAAGGCAGAGGAATTAAGGAACGCGCCCCCTCTTTACTGGGATTGCGAACGGGATCTAACATTTGCACGATGAGACGTAGGTAATTAAAAGGTAAATTTTTCGTACAAAAATAACTGTTTCAATTATTTATTTTATTTTATTCTTATGATATTTTAATGCAGTTTTGACATTGAATTAATAATTATCAGAAATCGGTATGTTATTACACTCATATTCTTTTTAATTAGCAGTTGAAGAGCAAGGCATTACGAAGCTCTTTATTTGTCGTGGACTTAATAATGCGGATTTATCATATCTTAACAGGATGTTGTAAGAACTTGTGATTTTTTGCTATTCACTTGAACTTAGTTAAATATATGTAATGATGTAAAAAGTCGTGAACGTGAATTTGTTGCTCATCGTAGAGGAAGGAAGTTAAAATTAACTATAAACACATACTCTTAATCCACGTAGGTACTATTGTTATAAACGAAAATTGACAGATAACATCTGAGTTTCATAGGACCTATATTTAGAACTAAGATCTCTTCTTACATGTAGTACAAATATGGGAGATCACGAAAAAAAGGATTAATTCCTAAAAAGTTTTTTATTTCATTCTGCGTTGCACATCACCCAACAATAAAGCCTGTACATTACACTCTAAAAAGTTTCAAATAAGAAATTTATTTTATAGTGATAGCTATATTATAATAGCGATGACCAAAGCACAGCGCAATCGTATGCCACAACAATTTGTTTTGTTATCATCAGTGGCATACGACTACGCTGTCCTTTGGTTTTGTTTTTATATAATGAATTTTCGGGTGTTTGTCAACAAAATCGCAAGCAAAAGCTATCAATATACATATATATAATAAAATGTGTTAATTAGAATATGAAATGTGTCAATTAAGCCCTTTCATTTGAAACCCTACACGAAATAATTGAATATTATATTTTTTAGTTTCTTACTTTAGGCTCTGTCTAATAATAATACCTCATTCGTCCAGTTACGATGAGTAGTTTGGAAGTTTTATGAGAGAGTAGATGAATATTCCTACATACATCGGGCAAAATTATAAGCCTAAAAATACGTATAATAACTAGTACTAAGTATAATATAATGTCAGTCTAAATAGGTCATATTTGCTGTAAAATTGTTAAAAATTGTGTCAATTAAATCCTTTCATTTGAAACCCTACACGAAATAATTGAATATTATATTTTTTAGTTTCTTACTTTAGGCTCTGTCTAATAATAATACCTCATTTGTCCAGTTACGATGAGTAGTTTGGAAGTTTTATGAGAGAGTAGATGAATATTCCTACATACATCGGGCAAAATTATAAGCCTAAAAATGCGTATAATAACTAGTACTAAGTATAACATAATGTCAGTCTAAATAGGTCATATTTGCTGTAAAATTGTTAAAAAAACATGTATTACTCGGTAGCGGGTTCGGTGTGCGATACAGTTGTTAAGCAACATTCGCAATGGCCGGTCAGAGGATGAGTGACCAAAAAGTTATTGTTTCGAACTTCTCCGTGCTTCAGAGGTACGTAAAGCCGTTGGTCCTTGCTGCATCTGTAGTCGTTTACACCCACCAATCCGCATTGGGAACACGTGGTCTTGGCCCATTCTTCATAGTCGATTCGATTCCATTCAGATTCCATTCATAGGCTGGTAATGATGATAACTATTGAAACTTGTATTTGAAAAGTATTATAATTTAGGCAAATTCGAGCTTCACCTTAATATTTTCTTATAAAATAAACAGCTAATAATTACAGATAGTAAAGAATTTTGTCAATTATAAACAACGAAACTATAAGCCGATATTCGATCAATGTCTTTTACAAAATGTTGCGTGTAAAATATCTAATAGCTGGGTACAGATCGTTGCCCATTATTAATAACAAACACAAACGGCGATGGTTTTTTTTTTCTATTGTCCATTAGTTACTTCCGTGTCTCATCTCGAGCGAGACAAATCGCTTCAATAGACGATTGAACGATTAGAGTTTTAGGGTATCGTAATAATGGTCATACCGCTTATTTTGAATTATTTTTATTATAACATAGTAGAAATATATTAAAACTATAAATTAATTTATCGAAGAATTGTCAAAAGAAACTAATTTTTCATGGCAAAGTGCGGTAACTTGATCATATTCTTGTTCAAATTAGTGAAAGATTGATTTAAAAAAAGAAATGAGGAGAGAATTCTTTTTAAGTTAGTTGTTTGTTAATTTGCCATGTTATAGGATCAAAAACCCTTGTATATCGGCTGTTTACTACATTTCAATTGATTTTATAAATTGTCTATTGATCCATCCAAAGGGTTATAGTTTTTAGAGCCATGAGTAACTTAAAGCCAAATCAAAGTTCTGAGTGTCTATAGAAATAATAAAAAATTATACCTACCAATAGAGAAATACTTGTTAATTTAGTTAGTGTCCAGTTCATTCAAATAAATACAGGTACCAAAAGTGATATACATTGGATAATATGAGCTTATTCTGCCTATTCTCAGCATATGATATACTGGAACCATTGTTATTCTGGAAGAGTTATGTATTATTTTATAAGTAACTATAAAGCCATCCCTATAAGTAACTATAAGGCCTCTTTGGTTTAATTTCCGTCATTTACTTTTACTGTCTTAAATTTCTTTTTAAACTCTTTTTCATACTTTTGTTAATTCCCCAACAATATAATCATAATATTCATTAATTATTATATTTGACCAATTTTGCATTCTATTAAATTCAACAATGTTCGTGTTGAAAATACGCTCTTTGGAAGTGTTTGAGAAATTCTTCAGTCTTGTTAGGTCTCGGCTAGCTCAATTGTTGCCCGTATAGCGAAAGGTTGTGATTTAAAAAAATCGGATTCTATGGGAAGCTACATCATGCGCGGGTGACATAGGCTATATTAACAGCTAGTTGTATAATTTGAAAGGATAAGTCATTAATATAATGATATATTGAAATATCTTCATTAATCTTGTAAGTGTACGAATAAAACCGGCTTACCTATATCCTACATATAAAGTGAAATGTTAAGTCAATTGAGAACTACAAGTCCCTCGTATGCATTTCATTTGAGGTGTTACGCAGGCATATTATATAATGTTATGCCACACACTGGTTTTAGCGTGAGTTTTTTAGCTGATGGCATTTCGCGATGTTAAATTATATTTGAGCATGTTTGTTCTGTGTATGAATAGTTAAATATTAGCATTTATTAGAACCGGTTCTATCTCAAGTAAATGTGACATAATAATTATTAATATAACGATGCAAAATTAAACATTCATTTATTGATTTAAATTCGATATAAAATGTCTGTAAAGAAAATTATGTTTTTGTTGCTATTACACAATAAAAGTATTGGAATTCAGTGACATAATAAAAGAAGAGGAATGTAACTGAAATAAAAAGTATGAGTACGGAATCTTTCATTTAAATTGCACTTTTTATAGCTATTACCTACGGTTGAATGATCCCAATTTATTTTCAAAATGTGTCGCAACGAGACGCCGGGTATATTTATCATTGATTGTCACATGTCACTTGCTCTCTAACATGAAAAAATATGGCCTCATCAATCTAAACTCGGAAACTAGTTATGTTTATACATATAAAATATGCGGTACAGTTTTTCCAATTATAAATTTTTATACACCCAACTAATCTATAAATATTTTCATACAAATACAAATACTTCATAATTCTCGGTAGCATAGCTCGTAAGTAGCTAGATGGGGTAGTGGATAAGCGTTGTGGCCCGTGATCGTTGCTGTTAAGCAATTTTCGCAAGGATGGGTCATGCGAAGGGTGATCAAAAATTATATTCTCGAGCTTCTCCGTGGTTCGGAAGGCAAGTTAAACCATTGGTCCGCTGCATTTGCAGTTTTTAATACTCTCTAATCCGCATTGGACCAGCGTGGAGGTCCAAAGGAAGGCCTGGGTTGCGGACGTAAAAGGGCTGATAATGATGGAGTGGTCGAGTAGCTCACACGTCAGTTTCAAGGTGTCACCACCTCTCAGGTCCGTGGATCAATTACCAATCTATACAGAACATAAACTTTTCTGTATTGTCTTGAGTCTCGGTTCTGAAGGTTTGGCTATAGCCATGAAATTGATGTCATTATAATATTTATTTATTATAATTTATTAATATGATCATTATGATGGTGAATAAGTATATAAATTTACAAAATTACCTACAAGAACTTAATATTAAATGCAAGAGCTGTTGAACTATTATAACTATTTCGTAAATTTTATTACTTGAGTAAAATAGTTCTATAAAAATCTTCGCCAATCTTTTCAGAAATTTTAGCAAAAAAGTATTAAACTTTTTTCACGAGTTAGTATTTATACATTTCTAGTTTTTAGACGTTTCGAACTATTTTCAAGTTCCGTCACTGAACCGTGATGTTTGGCGGCTTGATATTTTTTCTATAATTATGTTTCAAAGTTAATTAATCAGGTACATTAATAGCGCGTGAAAGAAACAACAATAAAAAACAAGCTTATCTATTTTTATGAAAAAGGTCTATGTGGGGTCGGCGCAGTGAGTCGTTTCCTTCTACTTCTTTCTGTCAGCCGTCACCTCATTACTCACTTTCGTATAATGCTTCACACATTCTATTCATCTTTTCTGTGGTCTTTGCTCTTCATCCATCGACATAATATTAAAGCGGATACTATTCAGGAAAAAAATCTTTATTACTGATTTTACTACCTATTGAATACCTTGACTTTCCTCCTGTTAGTTTAAACGACGTCACTCCTTATCTAATTATAAGGGAAAACTCTCGTGGTAATTAAGCAAAAAGAACACTTACAATAGTGCCATCTTTGTTTCTTTCCACTGGTGACGACATTTCTCTCCGAATAAATTTGCTATTGTCAAATTTTATTTATTATTTCATGTGCATTTATATCAATACATAGTTCTAAGTATTGTGTACCACATTATAATATTCTTTTGGAAATAAATATAAATGCACCAAATTTTTTTCATTATAAATTCATGATAGGTTAATGTTTTGATTTATTTAAACAAAACTCCTTGGTGCCAAAAGAAAAACAAAAGAGTTTCTATTTGTGATTAAAAAAAAAACTTGAATAAATTAATTCGTTAGTTTGAAAGATGGAGTTAGCGTTCTTGTTAGAAAAACAAATCTCTAGTGTTTTCATAGATGAGGGACAATCATATTGAGTTCATACAATACTCAAAATTTTTGCGTTATGTGTCAAGTTCATCATTCTTGGAAATCGTGACCAATTGGGAAGATTGTCAGTTTAGCTGTGAGGTAATCCAAAGATGATTGTAATCACATAAAGGCAGATTGTGCGGAGGTCAAAACATTTAAATGTTGCTTTGATGTAGTAATATGAGTAAGAGCTGAAATGCGTTGTGTGAATCGTCTTTACGTCGTCACTAGGGGTTAAAGATTTATTATGTACTAGCTTTCTGCTAGCGGCTTTGCCCGCATGGTTCTGTGTTATACATATAAAATAAACCTTGCTGTTTAATCACTCTGTATATTAATGAAAACCGCATTAAAATTCGCTGTGTAGCTCAAAATATCTAAGAGTATAGACAGCGAGCAGCGACTTTGTTGAATACTATGTGTATAGATGTCTGCAATGTATATGCTTGTAGGGCTTATTGTTAGTGCCAAGAAACTTAATGCAAGTAGTCAGAGACCTTGTCTGAAAAATTAGTACGAAACGAAAAGGTCGAAGCCTTGAATTGTGCGTAGAATAAGTTAATATTTACGTTTATTTTTGTACTCACAGGAAAAAGTGATTTTATTCATTATTCGAGTTTTCATAAAATCACTTATCGATATTAAAATAATTTTTCATACCACAATTGGTATCCCACTGACTAAGTTTGAAATATTGATAATTTGGTAATGTTAACGTAATAGTGCCTTCTCAGTCTCGTTTCAATCATTTACATTTCGATTAAGTAATTTTGATCATATTTTATTGTCATAATTCGGTATGAAATTCAAGAAAACTTTGTAGTCACTGCATATTTAGTGTATAAGACTAAATATGCGTCTACTAATTAGTGTATAAGACATATTGCGTGTACGTGAACAATTTGTACACGTAATTATAATAATACGTACTCTCAAAGACAACATACTAAATTACCATAATGTTATTAATTGTTATTGACAGTAAACAGAAGTTATCGTGAAAAGGTATCAGGATTAAGACATTGAATTAACAGTTTATGTGTTACTTAAGAAATTAGTATAGGAGCTACTAAAAAAAATTACAAAGATCAATTGTTTAGGTAAAAATTTGGATTCTGATAAAAAAGTTGGGAGAAAATTTTCGGTTGTACCAAAATAAAACACAGAAAACGGCATTTGTTGATTTTTTCCCAGTTACTCAGTTTTAGTTTTAGTTTCATGGTAAATATTTACATTATTCGATTATGATGATCGTCATGGCGCAAATGACGTCGATTGTGTGCACATTAATTAACGTTTGCCGTAATAGAAGTAAAGTAAAACAAAAGAAACTAATAGTTAGTTATACTATATATTAATTAATGAAGTTCGTATAGATTTAAATGTAATTTAATTGTACTTACTATCGGCATAACTCGGAGGCATGAGCCTCAAGAATACATCTCCTCTCCGGCCCCAGGGTCGGTGCCGGACGTTATTGCATTCTCCGCTAGGGCTCCTGTACTTGCTGGGAGGGCACGGGACACTGCTGCCGTCCTCCTCAGATGTACAGTTCTGTCTGCAAATTGAAAGGGATAACAGAATATCATTTTCTTAAGGATATGCTTTTGTAGGCACCTAAAGAATGATCGGGCTTGCGAACGGTTCGAAAAATATTCGTAAACGCTCGCAATAGACCACTAGGATGATCCTATTTCCAAGCAAAAATGCGGACGGAGGACGATAATTTTTTCAATGAGTGATTGCTTTTTTCAGCTGAATTTGTTTCTTTATGATCATAGAGTTTAATTTTTTTAGTATCTAAGATTAAAGAGTTCTTATAGCCTTTAAAATCATTTAAAATAATAATTATTTCAACTGTACACACTAAAACCTTATATTTATTGATGAGCTGCCTATTGAAGCTGGCGATTGTATAACCAAATATCACTCAATCAAGTTAGGTCTTGATAGTGCCATGTCTACCACTCCAGGAGCTGCTTTTAATGCCCTTCTCAACTTACCGCCTCTGAATTTATTTATAATGAAAAAGAGGAAAGCTAGCATCTACAAAAAAGGCATTACTGGTCAAAAGAACTGGCATTCTCAAGCACTGAGATCTCTATATCAAATAGTCCTTGAGAACACACCTCTAGCAATTACTTTAGATGTCATGACTCCGCTTTATAACTTTAAAAGAAATGACTCAGTGGTAATACCGAGCAGAGAGAAATGGTCAGAGGCACACGAACTCTAAGAAATAGGAAGCCTAGTCTGGTTCACAGATGGCTAGGAAATGGGTCGAAATGTAGAATGTGGAGTATATGGTGTAAGATCGAAATTCAACAAAAGTGTGAATCTTGGGATAAACGCTACTATTTTCCAGGCTGAAGTGTACGCCATTTTACAATCTGTGAAAGCTAATCGCCAACAAAATTACAGAAATCAGACCATTTGTATATACTCTGATAGTCAAGCAGCACTAATGCCATACATTCGAGCGTGATAAGTTCGAAACTGGTAAACGACTGTATAGTGAGATTGAATGAACTGGGGCAAAAGAATAAGATTATTCTTAAATGGGTACCAGGACACTCGGTCATCATCGGCAATGAAAAAGTGGATGAATTAGCAAGGGCTGGAACACAGGGACTACAAATAGGACCAGAGCCCTTTTGTGGTATCCCAAAAACTATCTGATGCAAATTCTAAAGAATTACCTGCAAAGGGATTCAAAAAAACACTAGCAAAAACAGCCGGGATTAAATCACGCTAAATCCCTAAAAATTAAAAAAATAATTAGGTCTCAATAAAGATTGCCTGTTGATATATTGACTGTCTTCTGTCTCTAATTTATTCGAGTCAATAATATAATGTATTTTTTTGTAAATTGAATGGAATGGAACTATTTAAATATTTTTATTATGCACTAAAAATATTTTTCAAACAATTAATCAAGCGTGGAATTTTGAAAATTAAACTTACATTGTTTCTACTTAGTAAAGTAAAATTTCCTTCCCTACATGTAAAGTGGGGGTGATATTCGTCTTCGCCTCATAGTGCGGAGCATTGTATATATTTTAAATTTCATAAAATACATTGTATAGATTTTTCAAAAACATTGTGATTGTGGGAAGGCCGTTTTTCGATTTGTGACTTATTAAGCTTCAGAGAGCTAATTTTCGATAGAATATTCGATTCTTCCCTTCTTCCAAATAAATGGTGGTTGGTAAAAATTCAAATATTACGGCAGTAGTAACTATATATACTTAAATTGACTTTACAAGTTTACTAGTAATAGTCGCCAATTGTATTTAACAACTCTTTTAAAACGACAAACGTGATGTTTTTTAATAGATAATGTTACGGAACCCTTCCTACGCGAGCTCGACTCACACTTGCTCGGTTTTTTGTACAAAAATGTACAAAGGTGAAGTCATGCGACATCTCAAATCAATGTGTCGCTGTAATTTATTAATTTTTTTATTTATGATACACAAAACAGATGTAATCACAATATAATTATTGATTACGTATAAAAAAAAGTATTTAATATTCTTCAATGATCTACTTGTCTACATAATCTATTTTTGGCTGTCCATAGACAAAATTTATACTCATCATCTATATTCTGCCATCGAGTCAGAGATTTTATAGATGCAGTGATTACAAATTTAAATGATTAAGAAACCCTATCAGACTAGGGTTAGGCCTGGGGGCTAGCTGTCTAATTTAAAATCTATTGTAATCACTTTCAATTTGACATTTGAAACACATTCACGGATTTGCCAAGTGATAGCGATAGTGGTCGTGGTGTATTTTGAAAGATATTGAATAAAAAAAACAAAACAAATATTAATTTGAAAGCTATTGAGTAAGGGGGCGTCCATAAAATACGTGAGATGTTTAAGGGGGGGAGAGGGTCGAGGCAAATCTCATCTAATCTTACGTTGGAGAGAGGGGGGGGTCTCGGCAAATATCATGCAATTTTTTTTTATTTTATTTTCTCTATAATTTATGGTGTACAATAAAGAATTTATTCATTCATTCATTCATTCATTCATTTTTTTTCTGATTGAAACAAAAACAAAAAAATACTATTTTGGTCCATTTAATCCAGATTGTACATGCTTAAGATTTAATCTTAAGCGTAATCGTATACGATTAAGATCATTCACTAATTCGTTCAAAAGAAAATAATTTCATTCATACTTCGACGCTATACATCTACTGAATGTCAAACCACCATATTTGTAGGGCTCGAACGATACTTTCGATATCGAGTAGGTATCGATACTTTCAAAAGTTATACTCGATACTGAGTATTCGATACTACAACAAGGCAAATACTCGCAAGTACTCATAAAATTGCATTTTGAAAAATCTTACGTGAGATTGGGAAATGGGGGAGGCGGTTGAATAAAATCTCACGACATCTCACCAGGGGGGGAGGGAGGGTCAGAAAATTAAAAAAAACACCTCACGTAATTTATGGACGCCCCCTAATGTCCAGGAAAACTAAGGTGTAGCTAAGTTTATATTATTTTTTTGATTATTTAAATCATTATTCGTTCCGAAACCGATTGCGACATCAAAAAATACATTATTCCATAAATCGCTATTACTATGAAAGGGATAGCAATAGATTTTGAAATTAGACAAATAGCCTACTGGACTACCTATTCACTTAAAAGCAAATTTAAATAAGCCTTTTCTATAAATTGTTACTTACGCATCATTAGCTCCGTTTAAAAACCTCTTTTCGAGAGCAAGTGCCTCGCTGACTGCCCGCCTTAGATCGCTAGGCACTGCTTGTACATTACTGTCGTCAGATTTGCTTTTCTGTGCGTGTGCGCGGGCTAACAACACGACTGTTAAAAGCAACAGACTCCGTCTTAATCTGTAACAAAAAAATATTATGAGAAAATAAAGTATATGAAGAATTATTAGCATTGCCGAAAATTAAACCTATTGGTGTATGTAAAATAAGAATACGTATATATTATCCAATGAAAACAATTAACAACTAAATATTAGTACATTTAGTAGTACATATGATATTATTCTGTGTTTTGAGAATATATAACGGTAGTTTAATCGTATAAGGGTGAGATAGGCTATAATTTATGTGGGGGAAGTCGCGGAAAAACAATTTGTACATACTATATAAACAAGATAAACAAGATAAAACAAAAAAAATATCAGTTAAGTATTTCTCATGTTTTTTTTAATGTTATTATACTTATAAATATAATTATTGATTAGGTATCAATTAGCTAGAGCTCTTTTTAATGGTATCCATATCCGAAAAAAGTTGACCGTTTACTATATTCAATAGCCGGAAAAACAAAGATGGCGACACTGCGCAACCGCACAGGTCGTCAATTTTGTTTTTGCCAAAAACCCATATTATATATAATGGAATATATATAATGGACTTAATTATTAATGAATAAAATTTTAATTATTCCATTTATATTCAACACGTGTTTGTTGTGAATATTTCTTACGTTTTGATAAACAAAACTTTTGGTGACTGTTGTTCTAAAAGTGTAAGGGGATTTTTTATTATTAATTAGTTTATTTATTGTATATAACAACAGGTATTTATTTTCTAGAAAAAAATACTTTTTCGCAATAATCATAGACTTTGAATATATTCTAAAACAAAAGCATAAGTAACCTTTGATACTGTTGTTAGGTAATAAGAGTAATTTGCATAAACTACAGGAAACCTGTACATCTGTCAAGACTTAAACTATCAAAACATCGTCATTAGCAACATAAAATGAGATTTCAAATCCTTATTTATTGTCTCGGAAGATACAGTGATTGATTTAATAAATAAACGTGTTCACGATTAAAATAGCTAATGGAGACGCTCATCTCATAATTAATGTTTGAGTGGTGGAATGCGGTTCTATACACAACACTTAGAAGAATCAAAGATACATATTCTTGTTCGTTTCTTGATAAACTCGAAAATATTATCAATTGAATTGCAGATGAAGACCTCATTAATGTCAAGGAAGCGAAAGACGCGTGTGAGGACCGTGTCTCGTACTCTTTAGGTACTCTTTGTCTACCCTGCAAATATTTAGAGTGAAACAAACGTATGTTAAGGTTTAATGATTGAAGATTTTAGATTTTAAAAATTGTCTTGTATAAGTAATGTCACTTTAAATTAATGACAAATTTAACGGACAATTGTGCAACTGAGTGATGGATAGATAGACATTTTCATAATCAATCTTATAGGTAAGATGATTATTACAGCACGAAATTAAAATTTAAGCAGAAACTAAAGATAAATAAAAATAATTGAACAAAACTGTATGAAATCTTAGAATTTTTAAACTAATACATGTCTAAAACATAGATAATAAACTTAAACGGTAAAAAATTAAAAAACTTCTATAAAAGTCGGTCGACTAATATTAGTTTCCTTTATACTGAGGTCGAATACCTTACATTACCGAGGATTCTGTGTTTCAGTGTTAATAAGAAAGAAAAAAAATTGTATGTAAAATCTAGCTTTTTTATTATTATTACAAATCTGTCGATTCGTCTGCCTTCGGCCACGCTCGGCGCCCCGCTCGTTTGCGAAATGTAAAAAGCCAAACAAAAGACGGACAAGCCAGACACAGTTTATTTTCGCCGAACACGTAATCAAAAAGCCTACCTAGGCTTAAAACGGACGCCTGGCAACGCTAAATATACATCTATTAGGTTAAGACTTAAGTTGTGACTTTCAATCTCTTGACGCAAATAATATTAGCAAGGTCTTTTATTCATAGATATCAAAGTGTTTATAGACGTAGTGTGCTGCTTGAGAATGTTATTAGAGAAATGATAGTTATATTTTGCCTGTAATCATTAATCAAATTGAAAAACATTCTGGGCGATTTCAAAAATTCTTTCATAATTAAAATCCTATATTAATATAAATAAGAACTCAAAAGAAACCCACATTTACAACTAAAGAAGTTACTTATAGTTATTTTTTTTTAAACGTTGTATCAAAGAACAATTAATAAAAATATGCGACAAGTGCTACACATCCTGATTTCTATAATGAACCATTGAAAATGCGCTATAAAGTTACAATCTCTTTACGTTCGTAACAAGCTTCTAGTTATCTGTGACACTTCAATAGTTGCCCGATCTCGCATACCATATTAAGTATCTAGTATGTTGAGGAAGTTCATTGCGATCAGACCGCATGTTTACCGGTGACCGCAATGCTTTCGTTTTTATCTGATCTCTTATGAGTTATGACATACACAGACTGCTTTCTAGGCTTATGTCATTGACATTGTACCAGAGGTGGGTCGTTAGTGTTGCGTATGCGATCGTAGGTTTTAATTATTACGCTTGATGTGGCTGACCTTTACTTTTAATATTGAAATCAAATTAAATCAATATCATTTATTTAATCTAGGCTGTTTTAAATACTTGCGAAAGTAAGTAAATCTGGCGGGAGACCTTGTACTGAGAAAAACTGGCAAGAAACTATTTTACTTTCCATTTTCTTTCATACTAGATTTCCGCCAAGGCGGCTTCGTCCGCGTGGTCTTGTATTATACATACAGACCTTCCTCTTGAGTCATTCTGGATATTCATGCAAATCGTTTTGAAATCCGTTGTGTTGTTTTAAAGACCTCAACGTACAGATAGCCAGAAGCTTTTTAGATTTATATTATGTTTAGGTAAATTAACATAGATGAAGAAATCCAATTGGAATAATGAATGAAGTCAAATAATAAAGTCATTAAATTATGAAGTCCTTATGGCATACATAAACATTATATAATGATTTACCTTATTAATAGGCATACATAGTAGGTCATTTAATGTAACGGTCAGGTAAAACTACGATTATTGTAAATAATCTTTAAATTTATCTACGACGTAGTGACGAAATATACCTATATGTTTTTGCCGAGCTGTTATGACTCAAACAAAAGAGAACCCTCTTGTAAAGCTATAGGAAATATTAGTCAACAAAGACTTATTTTTTACTGCTGTTAAAGTTTAATTATATGTTTACAAAAGGAAGTTCAACACAGTTTCAATTGAATGTTAGATGGAAAACTTTATTGAATTATATGAATTGTTAATTCTTTTAATCTTTCTTATAAATTATACTGTTTATTGATGAAAAACAAAAATCTCTTTTATAATTATTACATTAATCGAAACAGAACTGAAATTATTCAGACAAACAAGTGGAAATAGTGGTTGGATTTTGTTTTATAATTTAGATTTGTATGATGTGTGTAATATAAAGTTTATGGTGTTTTAGCTTAGGTACAGATATTTTATCTTTATGAGATGTTTAATATTTCTAAAAAGTTTAGACAATTCAATGACCTAGCTATTTATCTATAGGTATTTTTATAAGAGATTTATATTACATCATTATCTTTTATGATGGAGTAGTTGTTTTCGCCCTCATAATTCAAAGCATCCAAGTATGATGTAGCTTTCCGTGGACGAAGGAATTTTTAAAATCGCTTTATTTGTTTCGGAAGCGACTTGCTCGATTTTTTTTTAAGCTTGAAAGAAAGAACACGATGGCTTCCACTATACAAGACTATGAAATCAATATCGATTGTTTTATAGAATTTGTATTTTATAATTGACATACATTCTATTACGCTGCCAGTAATAGAGCAAATATATCTCAAAGCGCGAGAGTATTATACCTACAGCTGCCTGTAATAGAGCAAATATATCTCAACGCGCGAGAGTATTATACCTACATTACACCAGACCTAATAAATTACTGTCTGTCGCAAGGTATTCGTTATCGTTTATAGCTTATCACTTGCATATTTCAACTCGTTCCCTTTCCGCGTAGCCTTTCCCAAATTGCGCCACTGCACTCGGTTTGAAATTGATCTGCTTTGTATACTTTACTAAGACAATCATTCTTAATGGAAAATACTTAAACAATCCACCAGGTACTCAGAGATTGAACTCATATTGGAGCATTTTTCACAAAAAATATTTTCCAGTGTAGCATTGTAAATGCAAAATTGGTCAAATATAATAGTTACAATTTATCATAGTTGCAATACCAGTGGAAAATTTCCGCAGTTCAGCATATTGTAGAGTTTACTTTCCTATACTAACATCTTGAAAAAGAAATATTTTTTATTTGCATCGAACAGGCTCCGATACTACTCAACCGATTTTAGAAACGCTTTCACCTACGGCTAACATCATACAGAGGTCATAATTTCATTCTCATCATTATCATCAGTCGTTTTATTTTTATTTTATTTTATTTTCATAGGTGAATCAACAGTTATTAAAATAAAAATGTAAACAAATTATGAAGCATACATAGAACCAATTATAGATTCACACAAATGGCCACTAATAAACTGTGAGACACTCAAACTAATGAATCCAATAAGATAATAAAACAGACAATAAATAGATTATATAATAAAAACAACAAAACCTCCCGGTCAAGTGAGCAGTTTCACAATATTTTGCCTTACTGAGTTACTCCTTGAGTTGATTATGTCCCCACTACAGGGGCTCAGCTTCCTTATGGATGGTTAAGGAGGATGTGCCATGACCCTCCACACTGGCTCATTGTGGATTGGAGGGTATTAACGACCGCCCATGCAGCTGCAATGGTGCAACGGCTTAACATAAAGCACGTTAAGTCGGTGGTTCCGGCTGCATTTGACTAGCGGAGTAGCTCGAGATAATGACGAGATGTGGCGCAGAAAACAGATAGTCTCGTTTGATAAAAAAGAAGTTCTTAAGGTGTTTGAGTTTATAAGTGTTAATTACGTTGCAAACTTTTATATAACAATTTTTTGACGCAATTTTTATATTTGTTGACACTGCGTTACTGCGAACACCAGAATTAGATAAAGATGTGAGACTAATAAAAATATAATTATTTTCCATGCTGTATTATCATAAAATATTTAAACCTTAAAAAAGCACTTTAATTCGACTGCAACAGCTACATCCAATAAAGTTTGATGTAGACTTTAAGCTCTTAATGAATATTCTAAATTGAAAAGTAGCGCAAATATCACTTTAAAGTAATAATAATAATATTTTTTATCGGAACTTAAAAAATAAAATGAGATTTTTTTTAGATAAAAACAAAGCACAATAACACCTGTCACATCGCCTCTTTAATGTTTTAAAAAGCTTTTAGAAATAAATTTTAATAATATAGAAACAGAAAAGATTCAGTCAAAAAACATCAGGCTATACGTTGCAAAATTTTCTTCTTAATTTTAAATCTTAATACATAGGGGTAGAGTTCAATATCAGTTGAGGAACTCAGACTTATTGTGGTAATCTGATGTGCTGATGTCTGTACAAATTTAGCTGAGTCACGGACAATTTTGTAAAATAAGTGAAGGCAGCCGACATAGACAATGAAAGTAAAAAAAAACCGTAGGCATCTGAGAAAATAACTGATTTGCACAACAATTCTTTTCGCTTCAAAGAAAGAAAGGTAAGTTTCACTATTCTGTTAACGATCAAGTTTAAATCTTAGGAAACGTTAAACTAAATATTGA